ATAAAAAAAAAGATATTTAAAAAAAAAAAAAAAAAAAGAAAGTCGACTTAATGAATAATAAATACTAGAAATGTCAAGAGTGAAAAATAAGATTTTTTTGTTTTTTTTTTTTTTCATGGTTTACCTTGATTCTCTCGCGTACAACCTTGGCCTTAATCTTGGCCAATACAAGGACGATATTCGTTTCATCTTCGGTGCCAGATGATAATACTTTAATTTCAGCATTAATTTTTTTCTTTTCTTCCAGTATTCGATCATAAAGAGGTGCTATTATAGGTTTAGCTTCTAATTCCATTAAAAATCGGTAATAATTGAAACCTAAATCATCGTTGTATCTTTGTTCAAGGGCAAATTCTTCTTCGGACGATAGAAGCACCGTTGCGGTTGTTAAAACTTGTCTCATTTGCGCACGAGTTACGTGACCGAGATTATTCCTAATAAAAAATAAAAAAAGAAAAAAAAAACAAAAAAAAAAAAGAAAAGAAACAAAAATATAATAATCAATAATTATTATAGATCGATAAGATTCAAGGTAGCTTACTTATCATAATTTTTAAAAAATTGTTTCAAAAGAATTCGCCGCTCTTCGACCCTATGTCGAACCTTTTGCAATGTATCTTCGCATAATTCTCTAATGCTTTTCTTTTCACATTGCCAATCAGTGGCACCTTTTTTACCAAGTTCCTCTATTTCTTTCGGTGGTGATATTACTTTTAAATTTGGCAATTTTTCTAACTCCTTAACGGTAAACACTTCAAAGAAGATCTCATGTTAAAATCGTATGTAAAAAAAATATTCTACTTGTATATATATATATATATATATATATATAGATACCTTGATTTATATCATCCTCGAATGTTCTCCAGCAAACACGATCGGGATCATTAGGATCTTTATAAAAAGTAATTAAAGCATGAATATTTGTTTCAGCTATGTAAAGACGTCCTAAAGATGAAACTTGAAGAGCATCTAATCCTCTTCTAAATTGTGATACTGTTATTCTACCATCATTCAAAGGATCAAAATCCTTTGAATAATATAAATTTTATTTTATTATCTATTTATTTTAAGGAGAAAATCTTTGTAAATAGCTGTTGACGATCGCAACCTTGAAAAACTCGTAAATACGAATTCGATGCTCAAAAATGTGTCTTTGAATTCGTCGAATAACTTCCATTAAGGACATCTGTTCTTTCTGTTGCTTCATCACAGGATGAAATACTATTTGCTTTCCAAAAACACGAGATGGATCGACTTTACCAATTTCTGGCCTCGGAAGTTTTGGCAATTCTGCGGTAATCACACGGCCAGGAAATTGATCAAGTAATTTCTATTAAATCGATAGACTTCAATTATTTTCTAATTTTCCTTGATATAATTGTGTAAGAAGTAAATATATGGAGGGGTAAAAAAAAAAAAAAAAAAAAAAAAAAATTCATTTCGTTCATTCGTAGTTAAGTAATAATATTATTTCTAATTAACGTTAATTCATTCATCTTGTAGATTTGAAAAATTCTTTATTACTCCAGCGAGATCTAACATCCCGTGTTTCTCCATGTATTCCTGTGCCTCATCGATGGCTTTTACGAAAGCAATATAATTAATCGTGTAGGCATCTTTCGCAAATCTTTTTACCAACAAACAGAATTCTTCCGAGCCAAGAACAATGCCGAGAAATTTGAGTACTCGGCCGAAGTGAGCGTAAGTAACGGTACCCACATTCTTTGCTATCTAGGAAGATATTAAAAGATCATATATGTATATATATATATATAGATCATGTTCATATCAAGATATTTGATATATTATTATTATTATTTTTTTTCGTTTATTTTTTTTTTTCCTTTTTTTTCTTTTTTCTTTTATCCATGAAACGTACTAATTCGTAATCTTGAAAATATGGCCTCAATACGAGTTTACGCTTGTTTATCAGAACAGCAATTTGAGTGATAATTAAACATAATTTTCGAAGTTCAGTAGCACTTAAGACATTCACATGAAGTGGATCTTCCCATTCTAATCCAGTTACGAGTGGTTTGTTTTTACTAAAATCAGGAACTGCAAACAATTTTTTTTTTTTTTTTATTTTTTTTTTTTTTTTTTTTTTTTTTTTTATTTTTTATTTTTTTCTTTTACGTTTCAACAACAAAATGCGTTTTCTATCTAACGTTGGAATTTTTCCAAGAGAAAGTTGAAAAGCCCTCAGGTAGAGATAACTAATTGTTTCGTTTCAGGTAAAGAAAGATTACAATAGAACCTTTAGGAAAAACCCTTACTCCCTTTAACAACCTACTTATAATAAATCTTTTCTTTTAAAGGGAATGTACCATTTTGAAAAAATTTTGAAATATTCGTTCCCACGTAGCAAAGTAAAGCTGTTTATAATATTTATGAAATTACATATAGCATAAGATAATTTTTCTTTCTTTTTTTTTTTTTTTTTTTTTTTTCTTGGAAAGAGAAAGTCAGTCAGACAATTCAAAATACTTTTTTTTTTTTTTTAAAAGAATTTTATTACTTTTCAGAACGAGCGTTCTCTTCGATCGTGATCTCACGACACATTTGTAAAAAATTGTTTGTCATACCGCTATCATGAATGACCTCGCAAAATTGTCTGTAAAGAATTCGTCCATCTTGAACACGAAAATAATCAGCAAGATCGCATATTTCTTTATCAGATAAGCCAATAGTTTCCTTCAATGGACCATTCAAAATAGATACGAATTTCGTTTCTGTGAAGTAATAATTTTCGACATTGTAGATTTCAGAAAGAAGGAAATTTTTAAAAGAAATTTTGGTGAAATTACTTTTCTACCTGAGATCAAGCTATTATTGTCAGGATCTAAAGGTTTATAATAATCCCAAAGACTAAGACCCAAACGAAATATTGCAGCACGTATTTTATTACAAGTACGCCAGACATCCTGTAGTTTCAGGGCCTGTACGGATGTATGACATGCATAGTACTATGGTTAGTGAGTGAAACGTGCAAGCATAGAATGTGGTATAGTCCTAAGTTTCTCTCTCTCTCTCCCTTCTCTCTCTCCCCTCTTTCTCTCTCTCTCTCTCTCTCGCTCTCTCCCCTTTTCATTTTCACCGACATCCTATTTTAGGAATATACAAGGGAGACTAGCCCACCTTCTGTTCCTCAGGCATTTCAACGGCCTCGGCCTTTTCCTTTTACACGTTAAAATTTTCCTATGAAATTGTATAAACAATTAATTGAACTAATTGAAATCAGTTAGTAAACAAAACGTTAGTAAACAAAAGCTAATCGATGAATGAAGTATATCGAAGGAAGGTATATCGATTAACTCTGAATGATTTGATGACACAATCATACAATTTATATTCCATGAAATCTTTTATTAATTAATCAAGAAAGAGAATTCATATTTATTGGAAAAGGAAGAAAAAGATAAAAAAAAAAAAAAAAAAAAAAAAAAGTTACATTTGTCATTCTGTAATTAAGACAGAGAGAAAAAAGAGAGAAAAAACAACAAAAACAAAAAAAAAGAAAGGAAAAAAGAAAAAAGAAGCGCTTGCGTGCCGATGATAAAAGTATACAATATATACAGATTATAAAGTAACCGTATCATCTAATACGATACCAACGTTATCATGTTGAAATGTTCCACTCATTATACGTACATATATACATATATATATATGCATACATATGTATATATATTATATATATATATATATATATAACATACATTAAATTTTACGTTCGATAGTCGAATATGTTATTCCAATCTTTGACGTAAGTTCATAAGAAATATTATTTAATAATAGAAATTTTGATTTGTTTATCTTCTATGTGATGTTAATCAAATAAGATAGTCGTATTGATGTAAGAGACGCGTAAACGTGTTCCGATCCATTGATAAATATAATATATTTTATTGATTTCTTCGTAGAGCCACGCGCGCTTGGAATTGTGGGAAGCAAAAACTAGGCAAAGGAGCGGGATCTCATGTGGATTTTGATTGGTCGCTTAGCTATGCTCGCCGCCAATCTCAGCCAATGTCGGTACACTTTCCTACGCGACTCTCACACCGAAGCCGATTCATCCCGAAGACATGCCGCCACATCCGCCGCCCGTCTCTCTTCCGTTTCAGAATTTCTCACATTGATCGAAGCTTCAGGAACGTACTAATGAGTATATATTAGGTATTTTACTTAAAATGTTTCAAGACTTCATTAAATAATAATAATTTTTCTTTTACATTATTCTGATCGTTCTCGATGATATGAAAATTTTCATTATATATAAATAATTAATCATTTCAATGCCATTTCCATTCATTTAATAAGATATATACATAAAAATATGTAATTGTGATAGACTTTGTTTATACCTTATTAAATAATTCATTAATACAGACCTGTTTGATATCGTAATAGAATTTATTTATAATATTTTATGACGGTACATTTAATAGGTACCTTATATATAATTATTAGAATCGATATCGATCGATAACGATTTGTTTTATTAGCCAACATAGATCTATTATTTATCGGCGATCCAATCGGGGCATAGATATTCTCGAAGACGGCACTGAGATGGAGCCACGCGATTGGTTGACCGTCTTGGCGTAGAAGTAGTGGGACTCCCGTGATGCATTGCGCAGAAGCTTCGAAGCCGTACAGAGTTACGAGCTACTCTCCCTTCTCCTCTCGGCAGCCGAGCTGTTCAGACGTGAAAAGTGTTTGTTGCTCGTGCGGTGTACGTAAACGTTTTAATCGGAACACACTTATTTTTTTTTTCCCTTTTTAAGACGTGTCCCTCAAGTGTTAATTTATCTTTCTATCTATTTTCTTTTGGTAAGACACGTAAATCAATCGCGTATTACTATGGCTGATCAGGAGAACAACGACTTCAGCGAAGATATCGCTGATCAGAACTTTGAGCAGAACGGCGAGGCGGAGAATGGTGGCGACGGGGACGCCGCTGAAAACAACCAGGAGTCCCAAGAGGACAGGTAATTTTTTCTCAATCTCTGTTGTGTCCCAGATTGCTTTCCAGCTTGGATGGCGAAACGCGTAATAACGTTTCATTCTGACGCACGTAATTTAACGTTTTATTCGCGCGGAGAAATATATCTTTTTTTTTTTCTTTACATTTTGTGCGTCGTCGTGGTATATATATATATATATGTACATCGTATGTATGTATATATATATATTATATAGTTATATAGATTATCTAGTTCCGTGTCGAGTTGCTTTCATTTGGTACGATCGCGTATGACAAAATGGCGGACGCGGGAGCTTTCCCCTTTACGGTAACAAAAAAGAAAAAGTAATCCAACGACATCAGACGGAAAATGAGTGTTGGCATTTTTTACAATTGTACTACCAGCGTGACGTTACTATGATAAAACATTTGGTAACTTTCTTTTTTTCGAACGCGTTGCAAGTACTTTCATATATATATATGGTGATTCAGAAAGAAAACAAGTGGAGATGCCGGCCGTAGGTTTTCAGAGGGACGCGCCCACGCATTGTTCGTTCGTCGCGTGAAGGAGGCATATAAAATGGCGGGCTTTGAGTTATAACGAATATATATATATACATATGCATCACGTTTTTTTTTTTTTTAATCGCGCGTTCAATATGCTTGGGCATAACCTTCGTATATTTTATCACGTTTTACGTTAAGTTTCATCCCAATAAAAATTTCTTTTTATTTTTTTTTCTTTTTTTTTTTTTTTCTTTTTCTTTTTCTTTTTTCTTTTTCCTTCACTACAATAATAGTCAATTTACATTCATGCTATCGATTCGAAGGTAATATATATATATATGTATGTATATATATATATATAATTATTATCGATTCAAGAGAATAAGTGTAGCGAATCAAACATCAATTTTTCTCTTATTTATTTACGGAAAAAAAAACAAATAAAAAATACATTAAAAATATTGTTCTTTCTTGTAAAATATCTTTGAGAAGTACTTAATTTAAAGGATTAATGTATATCATAAGAAATTGTCTCTCTCAGTTAGCTACGTAGCACCTCTTTGCCTTTAACCTTTTTCAGCGTAACGAGAACTCGAGCTGGATGATTTATTCACCGGATTCGGCGAAATTAGTCTGATGTGTATCGATTTTGTCGGACTTTCAAAGTTCTATGTAAATACTACTTTGTGTTCTTACTTTTTATGCCGTTACTTTTGCTCTTTACATTGCCACAGCATTTTGGACTTAATACTAAGGAATCGACTTCTTTTATTTTTTTTTTTATTTTTTTTTTTTTTATTTTTCTTTTTTTCTTCCTTTCTTTCTTTTATCATCCTTACAGCCTTGGATTATCGGAAACTCTTACTCATAGTTTGGGGTATGTTTTTTAAAAATGGGTAAGCATTATTAGATTAAACGTAGAGGTATATAAAAATTTTTTTGGAAAAGCGAATGTAACCTACAAATTTTAGGTAGTATCCTTATATGCTGTGCTTATCGCGTAGATTTTCTTTAAAATGGGATATAATATTAAAAAAAAAAAAATACTTTAGAAGAACTTAGTTCTAGTTTATAAATTTGAAGGTGTACTTTCTCTTATCCATGTGGTAGGTGTTTTTAGGAATGTAAACTTAATGTAGAACGTGATAAAAATCAATGACCGAAGGCCGATACTCCACTGTTTTTAGTATATCAATTTTTAAAGTCAAAATAAAATAATAATGCATGATGTTTATTGAGAAAATAAGATAAGGTAAATATATGCGTAATGATGATAAGTGCTAGTTGTAACTTTTTTATTGTGCTGTTGTTGCGAGGTATAAGTTTATTTGAAATTTTATAACTTTGTGTAAACTCCTTATTTCTGCTCCTACCTACTTAATTAATTCTACTATAGTTCTGTAATTAATAAAGAAAAGTTGTGATTCTATTATTGATCAAGTTTATATACAAGTAACGCAAATAATGATTATAATGTTTTTATAGAGTGTAAACTTTCAAATCCGTTTTTGGACAGCCGAGAATCTTCCTCGTACATTCATTGCAGCCGAATTCTGGTTAGTCAATTGTTCACGATTGACAATAATGTACGCTTACCTGGAATCTGTGAACTGAACCGTGAAGCCTTATGAATGACTTCTGAGTCTGAATTTTATGAGAAGTCAACGTCAAGTTCAAGTCCGTCATGTTTCGTCACTACACAAGCACTGGAAGTCGAGTCAATTGCGTCAGATCAATAAGTCTCGCACAGACACACACTTGCCTGCTGGGTCACGCGTAGAGTAATTTCTGATACGATGTCAATGCTGTTTGGGCGTGATCAAAGCACAGAGTCACTAGGGCCAATGCGAAAACCTCCGATAGGTCGGAATGCCATTAACTCAGTTTATGTGGCTTGGTCTGCAGGTGGCAAACGACCCAGTGCGATTATGGCGGGCGGCTCGCAACCGGCTAACCGTGACCCGACCAACAACTGATAAGCGGCGAGTGACTGGTGCCCACGGTATTTATCACCAGCCCTAGATGATATACGAAAGATCAATATTTAAGTACAAACAACTACCACCAAACTGCCAGAAAAATGAAATCATATTGCAGCTCATAATTTGAATATGTAGAATGGACGAAAAGTATATCAGGACTTGAAACAATAATAATATTTTGCCGATGACTATATAAACAAAGAAACAAATATATTATCATATACAAATATTTATATATTAAATGTTCAGTATCGTGTGCATATATAAATTTTATTTTTTAAAAAAAAAAAAAAGAAAAAGAAAAAAAAGAAAAAAGTATATGAAGAAGTGACCAGCATTAACTTGTAATATGAAAACAATTTTTTTAGCTTTTTAATAGAGTTGCAGTCTATCTACCATATGCCAATTCTTTGGGCCAATCAGCAGTCAGAGTTCAACTTGGAAAAGTTAAATCTTGTTTCCTTTAGGAGCAGCTGTATCTCAACTGGAGTTGTAACTGTAGCTTGGGTTTGCAAGAACGTCATGAAAAGTATTTTGATCTCTAAATACGTTAATTTCCATATGCATACTTTTTTCCAAGTTTTCCCTTCAATTCTTTTTTTTTTTTGTTCTTGAAGCATATACTTGTTTAAAGTTCAGATTATGATTTTTATGGTGTACAGAGCTGTCATCACATGGTTGGTTGTCACAACTTTTGTTTCACGTACTGAGGATAAAATGCACATTTATTTCATACATATGGTAAAGTTGCTTATACAATGAATTATAATTCATTTATTTTAGGAGTGGTATGAACATTTTATTACTATTCTTATCTTAAAGCTATTACTGATATTTTTGTTCATACAAAAATTATATTTTTTCTAAATCTCTCATGGCAGGCAGTATAAAGTAGGTCACTTCAATTAACTTCAGCTTAAGTTTGTAAATGAATATACATATACGTAATTATATATATACATATAAATATGAAGCATTTAATAAATTACTTGCATCCGCTAAATAAAGTTCCTCGCCAAAACTTGAGAGCTTATCCAGAACCCCTTTTCCAAATGACAAATGATCTTTTACGTTTCTTGTGTATTATCAATATTAAATTTTAATATTTTAACAAATGATTCTAATTTTTCCAGGGGTCAAGTCAAACTCCTTTTTGAAATATATATATATATAAATGGATACAGTTCGTAACAAAATTAAAATTTTTGCTTCGCCCTTAATCCTTAGTATTTATATAAGAGATCTTTTAAACTTTTAGTAAAATATACTCATTCCATTGCTTTACAGGTCGGCCGGAGGTAACCAGGATTCTCTGAACGATAGGTACATTCAATTTTTTATTATTATTTTCTTTCTCTCTTTTTTCTCTGATTCCTTTTGCTTTTTCATTAATTTATTTACTTATTCATTTATTTACTTATTCGTTTACTTATTTATTTATTTCTTATTTATTTATTTCCAAAACGCAATGTAGTTTCATTAAAAAAAAAAAAAAAAAAAAAAAAAGAAAAGAAAATATTTAGTGCTAAAGTTACATATCCAGATGATAACCAGCTATGATTGCTGTTCAATTCGTATAATAATTTATTTGGAAAGTAGGTGGAACATACTGTGATAATTTTAATTTCTTATTTATTCTCTTTTTTTTTGACAGGAAATTATTTGTCGGAGGTCTAAGTTGGGAAACAACGGACAGTGAGTATTGGATTTTTATCAAAAGAATTTTTTAAACAACTTCAAAAGGAGAAAGTTGTGCTTTTAAGCAATGATGCATACTTTTTTTTACCTTAGGACACCTTCAGATGACAATTGTCAGATGAGAAAACTTTATTTCTGAGCTTTATAGCACATTTTTATTTTTTTTTTTTTTTTTTTTTATTTTTTTTTTATTTTTTTTTTATTTTTTTTTTTTTCCTTTTTTTTTTCCTTTTTTTTTTTTATAAATATTAGTTAGAGAAGAGTTTTATAGACTTTAAGATCAATTGAGAACAATTTTTTAATTGTATTTATTTTTCAGAGGAACTAAGAGATCATTTTAGTGCTTATGGTGATATTGAAAGCATCAATGTCAAAACAGATTCAAATACAGGACGATCACGCGGTTTTGCGTTTATTGTCTTTGCAAAAGCTGAATCGTTGGAGAAGGTAAAATTAAGATTTTTTTTCTATTATATAATATTTCATTATTGATACTTTCAAGTATTTAATATGATGAAATTTAAGTACCAGTTCTGCTACTGAGTGTGCATGACGACGATCTACTTCTGATGAAAATAAACAAATATATAAAAAAAATTTTTATATACACACAATGGACTATATTCTCTATAATTTAGAATTGGTATATGTTTCATAGATTATTTCTGGTGATCACGTTATTAATAATAAGAAAGTAGATCCTAAGAAAGCAAAAGCCAGGCACGGGAAGATATTTGTTGGTGGTCTTTCGACGGAACTTGCGGATGAAGATATTAAAAATTTCTTCTCACGATTTGGAACCGTAAGTAAATTTTTCAATACAAATGAAACATTTGATTATCTCTGTGAACATCATCGGTGATAATTATGCCAATCTTTTTTTTTTTTTTTTTTTTTTTCTCCTATTCTTTTTTTTTTACAGATCGTAGATGTAGAAATGCCATTCGATAAGACAAAGAACCAGAGGAAAGGTTTCTGCTTCATTACTTTTGAATCAGAACAAGTAGTGAATGAACTTTTGAAGACACCTAAACAGACGATAAATGGCAAGGAGGTTAGTATTAAAGAAAGAAAAAAAAAAAAAAAAAAAAAAAAGAAAAAAACGTGAATCTTTACAAAGACTATTTTTACAAATTTCAATTATTAATGAAACATTCTATATAATCTTTTGGGATAATTCAATCAATTCAGGTCGACGTAAAAAAAGCTACCCCGAAACCAGACGGAATGGGTGGAATGCGTGGAGGTGCTGGAGGTCGAGGCGGTAGAGGTGGTCGAGGAGGAAGAGGTCGTGGATTTGGAGGCCAAGGAGGTTGGGGTCAAGGCGGTTATGGTGGCGGTTATGGTGGTGGATACGGCCAAGGAGGCTACGGTGGAGGCTACGATGGTTATGGAGGAGGCTATGACTATTACGGCGGTGGGTACGGCGGCTATGGTGGCTACGACTACAGTGGATACGGTAATTTTATTGACTATTACTAAAAAAAATAAATTCACGTGAGAGACACACGTGTTTGCTAAACTACTAGTGCTCTACTTGAACAAAAAGAAAAGTCAAAAAGTAAAAGTTTTAAAAAGAAAAAGAACAATCGTTACCGTCCCAGTGTATTCGGCAGACGATTACTATAGTAATTTATTTTAACATTTATCACTGAAATTACCTACAAAAATCAATTAATCAGGCTTTGCTAGAGAATAAGAATTTCTTTTGCGAGAGAATGAGAGGGAGAGTGAGAGAGTGAGAGTGAGAGAACGAACGAGAGAGAGAGAGAGAGAACAGGAGAAAGAAAGAACAAAAATATGTTCAACTACAAGTCACATTGATAGTTATGATTGGTTTGATGAGGCATGTCGTATATATAGTGCTTACAGTACTAATATTCAAAGCTGAACGTATGGAGATCGTCTGCCAACATAACAAATATATATATATATATGTATATATATATATAAATGTGTATATATATATATACACATTATCTGTGTACTACTGTTTACTTAGTGGTACGCAACAGACGTATAGATACTGAGAAAATTTGGTATTATAGTATGTATCATACAGAAGATTATATACGATGTGTGATATTAATTATAGCTGATGCTGCAGGATGAGTGCTGGTTTGCAGGCGGATCAGCGACTAATCTTTCAGTCTAAAGTCAAATCTATATAATGTCGGTTGGTCGGTTGTGGGGTCGGTTAGAGTTTGATTGATCGATTGGGATAATTTGTTTCATTTACCTTAAAAAAAAAAAAGAAAAAAAAAGAAATTGTATTTTTTCCTTGTCATTATTAATATTATATAATACACGGGTATTAGACTTTTATCGCATAAACATGCGTGCAAGTTCCTTCTTCTCGTTTATATATATATATATATATATATCTCGATGATCGGTTCTTTGTTTACACCAGAACAGTGTGTGTAAACCAGCAACTCAGACGTGTGTAGGAAAAAAACTCATTTTTTTCGGATTATGTTCCTCTACCTCTTTTTACTTGTAATGCAGTAGTTTTTAAATAATAGTGATATATATCACGATTCTATCGTGGCTTTAATTGATAAAAACCTTTCAATAATATACTTTATGTGTGTGTGTGTATATATATGTATATAAATATTTATTATCTATGATATATATACACACACATGCATGCATACATACATATATATATGTGTATGAAATAATTATAATAATAATAATAATAATAATAATAATAATAATAATAATAATAATAATAATAATAATAATAATATACAGAGATTGTGAACATAATCCGAATGCCTACTTCCAGAGGGTTGGCTGTTATGAAGCTGTGACCAACTAAATTTAACGATTTACTAAGTTATATTCTTTGATGCCTTGTTAATATTAAACTAACACGAATATTACAAACAGACAAAATTATACACATAATACACTTGCTACATGAAAACATAGAAAGACATATACACGTAATACATTTAACACAGAGACACAC